AGTACATGCGTGAACAAACACACGCACGCATTTCCTCGCACATTCACTCCTTCACACTTACTGTGTTCGCTGCTGCGAGGGCAACAGATGGAAGAACGAGAGAGGTGAGAAGAAGGGGAAAGTGCCACAGAACATAATAAATGCTGTTGGACTTGGCCCGTTAGCAACCAGCATTCCTCTGACAGGTGTAACATGTTTACCAAACAAACAAGCAACACGGATGTCAGAGAAATGAAAATGGTGACTTGAGGTTGCATGACCTGTGAAAAGAAGCCTGGTATCCAAGCTGGCATATCTATGAGGGCTCTGAAGGTATTTCAGAGAGATGAGAAGACTGCGTGCCACACCAGGATTGCAAGAGTGTCTCGCAGAATTTGTCTTATGTTACTTGCCCCAAGCATCCCAGGCAGCTCTGGTTGTTAGCCGGGGCCATCCAGGGTCACAGGCACTGATGGGCAGTTTTTAAGCCTCTCACTTTCCTGATCACATTCCACTTCAGGGCAGCGGGAAAAATCATCCCACATCACAATCAAGCAAAATAAGCACTTGGACCTGTCAGGCTAGACATGGAGACTTCCTCTGTGACCTCATGTGACCTTGACCTCCAATAAAACTACTTCAAAGTCATCCCTCCAACAAGTCTCATGTTAACTAGCTAATTTGTTAATTGCTAATTTAATACTGTTTTCATAAACACCATGCCTCAAGCGTGTTCAGACTAAACAATCTAACACTAAACAACAAGACTATACAGTGCTTTATATTTCTCTACATTATCTAACCTCTCTCGGGGCCTGCCAAAACCAAACAGACAGTGCCTGTTTAAAGTTTGCACTAACGTCAGTCCACAGCGGCAGACTGCCAGTTGATTAGTTTGATGTTCTACTGGTGGAAAATAATCGGAGTGAAGTACAAGCTGTATTATCTAGCCCGGGGGACTCACTTACCTTTCCAGAAAGGAATGCAATCATTAGCTTGAAAGTCATTTATCTTGTGTGCTTCTCTTTGACAAAGCAGGGATATACACTAACTGTGCTGTATTGCAAGTTCACAGCAAAATGTGATGTTAAATAGTAGATTTATGCAACACACTCTCATCTAACAGATGAGACTAAAGAGATTCAAACTTTAGGAAATTATAATGTGTTATAATTACTTACAAGTTAACATCAGAATAGGTGGACTATGGTTATGTTAAATATAAGCTAGTAATTTACAATTAATCCATAATAGTGTATATTTAATCACACTATCATTTTAAAACCTCACTTAAAACCCTGATATGCACCTGTTTCCTCATCAGCCTCCTCTACTTCTCTGGTCTGCAGCAGACAAAAATAATTCCTCAAAAATGATGATACAGAATCAACAACTGTCTAAAACTTACTTTTTTAATAAAAACAGAACATTATGAAGGAGGATTTACTGCAGGACAGTTGTATTAGACTACAACAGTTTTAGCTGGATGTTTCTAATAAATTGCCAACTGAGTGTATATTATTAATTGTCAATTGTATGCACTGGCTGCAAAATGCCTGACTGGAATTAATTGGTTGATTACAGTGCTGTTCTCACCTGTGCACTGATACACCTGGCAGCCTAAAGATGCTCTTTAATTTAATAGTTTTATCATACATTATTATTATTATTATCACCATATAACATGTTTTACCTCTTCCCTTAAAATATAACTTAACACATTTACTCAGAGACATTTTAACTGACTCACTTTGTACTTTTATCTAATATTACACAGTGATTTTACTTTTGTAGTAAAATGTCTTTTCAGCAACAGTAGTTCATGACCGTTGACGTACTGACGTGTTGACGTCAGTGTAGTGTCTCATCTCCAGTCTGTGGAGTTTCTGTTACTGGTGGAGTTTATTGCTGCTCTGTCTGAACAGTTAAAATCGCTGTTTTCTTCATCACAGTTACTAACTAGCTGCTGTACATTAAAACTTACACTAGTTCTGCTCCAGCACCCAGCACCCTTTGCACCTTTTTTAGCGACGTTCACTAATTCAGCCGTTGTTTACATGCCAGAGAGATTGATGGGGCAGAGTTTTTAAGCCTCACTCTACTGCGCACTCACTCACGCAGCGGAAAAAATCATTCCACATCTACAATCAAAAAATAAGCATGGACTGTCAGGCTAGACATGGAGACTCCTCTGTGACCTCATGTGACCTTGACCTCCAATAAAACTACTTCAAAGTATCATCCCTCCAACAAGTCTCATGTTAACTAGTTAATTTGTTAATTGCGTAATTTTAATACTGTTTTCATAAAACCCATGCCTCAAGCGGTGTTCAGACAACAACTAAACAACAAGACTATACAGTGCTTTATATTTCTCTACATTATCTAACTCTCTCGGGGCCTGCCAAAACAAACAGACAGTGCCTGTTTAAAGTTTGCACTAACGTCAGTCCACACGGGCAGACTGCCAGTTGATTAGTTTGATGTTCTACTGGTGGAAAATAATCGGAGTGAAGTACAAGCTGTATTATCTAGCCCGGGGGACTCACTTACCTTTCCAGAAAGGAATGCAATCATTAGCTTGAAAGTCATTTATCTTGTGTGCTTCTCTTTGACAAAGCAGGGATATACACTAACTGTGCTGTATTGCAAGTTCACAGCAAAATGTGATGTAAATAGTAGATTTATGCAACACACTCTCATCTAACAGATGAGACTAAGAGATTCAAACTTTAGGAAATTATAATGTGTTATAATTATCTACAAGTTAACATCAGAATAGGTGGATATTGGTTATGTTAAATATAAGCTAGTAATTTACAATTAATCATAATAGTGTATATTTATCACACTATCATTTTAAAAACCTCACTTAAAACCTGATATGCACTGTTTCCTCATCAGCCTCCTCTACTTCTCTGGTCTGCAGCAGACAAAAAATAATTCCTCAAAAATGATGATACAGAATCAACAACTGTCAATAAACTTATCTTTAATAAAAACAGAACATTATGAAGGAGGATTTACTGCAGGACAGTTGTATTAGACTACAACAGTTTTAGCTGGATGTTTCTAATAAATTGCCAACTGAGTGTATATTATATATGTTCAATTGTATGCACTGGCTGCAAAATGCCTGACTGGAATTAATTGGTTGATTACAGTGCTGTTCTCAACTGTGCACTGATACACTGGCAGCCCTAAAGATGCTCTTTAATTTAATAGTTTTTCATACATTATTATTATTATTATCACCATATAACATGTTTTACCTCTTCCTTAAAATATAACTTAACACATTTACTCAGAGACATTTTAACTGACTCACTTTGTACTTTTATCTAATATTACACAGTGATTTTACTTTTGTAGTAAAATGTCTTTTTCAGCAACAGTAGTTCATGACCGTTTGACGTACTGACGTTGA